AGCGGGGCCCACACCGTCAGCCTCAGCGAGGCCCGAAGCCGCCGCCACCAGAAGTCCACCCGCACCCCCTTGGCACCCTGGCTCTCGGTGCCGGCCACGAACACCGCGTCACACGCTTCAGAGACCTGGGGGACAGGGACAGGGAGGTGGGTCGGCTGGGAACGGTCACCTCCGGACCCTGGCCATGCGGGGTGGGAGCCGAGTTCTGTTCTGCCCCCTGGGCTGGCTGGGGAGCCACTGTTCTAGGGCTCCAGACGTTTTGCAGGGTGTCCTAGGTCACCCTACATGCCCAAGGCTCCCTGGGGCGCTGGCTGTAGTGCGTGGCACACCTTCCTCCCAGCAGGGCCGTCTGGGACCCCTTAGCTCACTGCTGCCTCCAATGAGAACTGCAGCCACAAGGCCCAGCCTACAGCAAGGCTGCCCAGCCTTCTGTTCAGCCTTACAAGGTCCTGATGCTGATAATTACTACACTGGGATAGCAGCAGCTGCTTATCTGCTGGGCTCTGTCTTGGGTGCTTTGAATTCTCACCACAACCCGAAGGTATTCCCATGGTAAACTTGAGGAAACTGAAGCTCAGGGAAGTTGAGACCTGCCCACCAGCACACAGTTACTTGATAACAAAGATGGGTTGCAAACCAGGCATAGTGGCACAGGCCTATTATCCCTAGCAATGGGAGGCTGAGGCAGGAGGATGCCAAGCTCAAGCTCAGCCTGGGCAATTGATCGACTTGGCAAGGCCCCGTCTCAGAACAAAAATAAGAAAAGGGGTTAGGGATGTGGCTCAGAGCAAAGGCCCTGGGTTCAACTCCTAGTACAAGGAGCCTGTCCACAGTTGGGGTACAGGGCCCTACTTGGTTCATCTGGGACTGGAAGCTTGGGCTCTTCCTCCCAGGAGGGCTGCAGGTGAGCAGCTGCTGTCCCTGGGGAAGGAGGCAGCGTACTGTGTCCGCACCTGCAGGGCCTGCGTGTTGGCCGACTCGCAGCCGATGTGCTCTGTCACCTCGGCCAGGGCACCCCCGGCATCCACGGTGACCAGGCGCACGGGGATGCGGCCAGGCTGTCCGGTCAGCAGTGCCGTGTTCACCAGCTCCTCAGCCTGCAGGCGGAGATGGACATCAGTCTGGGCCTAGCCGGCCGCCTGGACTGCAGGACAGAGCCCTTACCTTGGCCAGCGGCACGAGTGCCCTGATGTCCCGCTCAGACACCAGGATCTCCCACACCATCTTGTCCTTCTCTGCGGCTGGGGCCTGGCCTGGGTACTCTAGCTGCCAGGTGATGGGCCGCGTGACCACCACACCGCCGGTGCCATTCTCAGCCAGGAAGTCCACCCACAGGAACTCGGAGGGCTCGGGGGTGCTGCTGCCGGGGAGAGAGGGCTAAGGGCGCCGGAGACCTGGGCAGAGGCTGGCCACACGCTGGCATGGACAGCCCCGTGGACCTCTGCTGTCCCGGCCAGTGGAAAAGCCCGGTGCCACCTTCTACCACAGGGAATGCCTGCCACGCCCCAGGGCCACTTGGCCTTTGATATCCCTCACGGCCACCCTCCTTGCTTTACGGTACCAGGGAAGGAACCCAGGGCCTTTGTATCGAGCTCCATCCCCAGCCCTTTTCTGATTTTTCATTTTGAGCCTGGGTCTTGCTCAATTGCCAAATGGGGCTCAGATTTGAGATTCTCTCGCCTCAGCCTCCCAAACTACTGGGATGACAGGTGTGTGACACCATAGCCAGTTTCAGAGCCCCCGACCACACATCTGTGTGCCAGTGTGTGCCACACTGCCCTGGGTGCTCAATATACGAACTGTGTTTTATTTCAACTGATCTTAAGGGATCTGTCACTACCCTCACTTGTAAGTGAAGAAACTGAGGCTTGGGTGGGAAGAGGCTGGCTGGCCAGTCCAAGGTACTTGTCCAGAAGGTACCAGAACCAGGGTCCAGATGGGAGCGACAAGGCCAGTGGCCTTGGTCCAACAAGAGTTCATAAACACGAGCCACTGCAGGGAGATGTTCTTGGGGATATCAGTGGCCCCGACAAAGGGCTGGGTTGGTGGAGTGCAGGTGGGAAGAGGCCCCGAGGGCCAGCTTGGAGCGGGGATGGCCTTGGCTGCAGTGACTTGGACACGGCTGTGTGCTGTCCCTCCCGCCCTCCTGCTCCCTACCTGGGGTTGGCTGGCTCTGAGCGGTGGCAGGTGATCAGCATGCTGTGGTGCCTGGAGCCCCTGACGTGGTCCAACTTGGCTGTCCACAGTGTGGGCTGCACTGGGCGGGCAGCTGTCACCTGTAGCCCCTTCTTCACCTTGACCCTAGGGAGGAGGGTTCGTCACACCAAGCTGGGACTGGATCTGCACTGAGCACAGACCCCAGTCTGGGGCGCCTGCCCTCCTG